ATTGACATCCGTGGCCGCAAATGCCAGCGCGGGTAGGGCTCATGTGCACCCCCTACAGAATGATGTATATATATATATATAAAAGTGATTCTGCACACAGATGCCACCCTGTAGCAGTATATCTGCTATAGGGCGGTCCTTAAGCAGTTAATTAATTAATTCCATGCATAACTTCCCACCAAATTCAAAATGCCTAAACATCCAAGGTTTGGTCTGAACTTTTATTTGGACTGAACCTTAAGCTGAGCTTTTTTAAGAAGCAAAACCTAGATATATTATGAGTAAATTACTGGACTATGCAAGTGATATCTACATTTGATTTCAGAAGCCTTATTTACAGTATAAACAAAGATTGTGCAAATCAACAGTGCAGCGCTAAGTAAAGTGCATTAATATATATATATATATATATATATATATATATATTATATATATACTGAAAAGGTATTCATTACAACCAAAAACATAAATGTATTTTATTGGGATTTTATGTGATAGATAACCACAAGTGGCACTTAATTGTGAAGTGGAAGGAAAATGATAAATGTTTTCAAAATTTTTTTGCAAATTATTATCTGAAAAGTGTGGCGTGCATTTGTATTCAGCCCCCTTTACTCTGATACCCCTAAGTAAAATGTAGTGGAACCAATTGCCTTCAGAAGTCACCTAATTAGTAAATACAGTCCGCCTGCGTGTATTTATAATCTCAGTATAAATACAACTGTTCTGTGAAATCCTCAGAGGTTTGTTAGAGAATAGTAGTGAACAAATAGTATCACGAAGGCCAAGGAACACACCAGACAGGTCAGGGATAAAGTTAAAATATATGTCTGCATTGGTTATAACATGACAAAATGTGGAAAATTTCAAGAGGTATTACTACTTTTTCAAGGCACTGAATATATATATGTTATCTTTAATTACATTTCATAACTACATTATATAACCTAAAATAAAAATTCCATAAGCCAAATATGTGATTAAACCACCACTGTATAGATAAGAAATGAGTAAAATTTACACATTGGTCTGCCACCAATTTTGTGCTAGCTGCTGCCCTCTGTAAGCGCTCACTTTTTTCTGTTGGTATTTGGATAAACAAAGAATGGTTGATAAGAGCCGTTCAAAAAGCATAGTTACATTCCAGCCCCGCCTGTGTTAGACAGCTGACATTAGAGCACTCACTATAATCTTTCAAATGTCAAGAAATAGAAGAAGTAGAAGTGTCTCTAAAAAGTGTCAGATTTTACTAGGACAAGCATATTGACGTTATACAGATGATTGTGTGCATTGTGCATTAAGTGACTTATGTAACGTCTACTTTCCCAGATTGACAAGAACATAGCTCAAGATATATAGGAAAACAAAGGTTTCTTCTGTCTATCTCCATGCTTTTATACCCAGGAAGCAATAGTATATGAATGGTCAATCCACTTAAAATGATTATTTCCATTTTGGGTAGATGTTGACTGGTTTCCAATACCTTTTGGAGATAAGAGTCTTGTACCAGAAATTACGGCTCTGCCACTATAGGATTACATTTGGTAGTCTCCACTCTTGACGCTGGCTCCCTGTTCATCTGACAACTGCACCCAATGACAGTTCTTAAATACCGCCATGATGTCATCCTGGATGCCATCCTGTGCTGTGATTGGCCAAAGCTTTGTACCTGACCTATGGTCAGGTGCATTGCTTTGACCAATCACAATGCACTGTCGAACAGGCTATGTTCGAGTCAAACGTGTTCGATTCGAAAATCACTATTCACTTATGGGTTTTCAAATATCTCTGATTCTGAAACATTTGAATCTAGTTTCCCGTTCGATTCGAGCCCGACACTATTCACATATATGGGTTTTCAAATATCTCTGAACATTTCTGACTTTGAACATTTGAATCTAGTTTCCCTTTTGTCTACCTTCTATACAAAGGTAAACAATGGATCAAATTGACAGTATCCGTCATGGGCAGGTTAAATCATATGAATCTGATTTTATTTCCAAAAATTCTATATTTATTGCAAAATTTCCATATATCTCTCCCACCCAAAATGTTGAAGATTATAACTATAATTTTCATGAATTAATGTGGCAGAAAATAACATCCCACAATCAAACTAGAACAACTACAAGCTGTGTACAGGCGTGGGGTATTGTATTACCCAATCCTTGGATATATTTCCTTGCAGTCTAGTTGTAGCATATTGCTGGTTTGGATATAAAGGAACTCATTGATCCCTTTGGAAGTCCAGAATCCTCCTCATCCTTATGGACTGAAACATTTGGTGACATCCGTAGGTTTATATGAAGCACTTGAAGCTGGTACATTTTCAACACTGGGGAATAGATACCTCACAGACTCTATCCATAAAATCTGTACTAAAATGAAGAATATACGTAAATCTAAAGGCTTTCCTAGCCACTCACCTATTCAGTGCAATGACCTATCCTGAATTCAAGAAACTTCAATGTAGCATGCTCTAAGGAATGTTATATTACCAAACTGATTCACATAGTTTACAAATACTCCCTTAAATCCATTTATAACCTTTAACATGATATACTTTACCACAAAAAATGTTTGTTTGACAACTGAACATAGGCGTGTGCACAGGGTGTGCTGGTGTGCCTAGGCACACCCTAATCACCTCATGAGCATTAGAATGACAGCTCTGTGTGCTAGTGGGAAGATGGGAAAGATTCCCTCTTACTGGCTCTTCCATAAGAGAAGTGCCTACTCACTTTTCTTTCACTGTGCCAGCAGGGAGATAAATGTGCCGGGGCAACACCTATGCAACCAAAACAGGTTTGTTATTCACAGTAAGTTTTCAGATATAAAGTTGGTGGTTTCCCTGCTCCCATCTCTTATGCATAAAAAACAAATCCTCTGCTCCCTTGGCAGTCATTGACAGGAAGGAAGCTGTCATATAGTAGCAGTAGAAATATTGCTGCTACATATGATCTTCCGCTGCCATTGAACAAGAAAAAAGTCCAAAGTTTGGACAAATGCCCAAACAGCCAAAGTTCAGTGTGTTTTGGTAGTTGTCCTCTCTCCTGGTGAATCAGCAGACATGACTCTATACCATGGTTTTCCATCAGACAAGTTTATTTTTCACTATGTTCTCGATAAGCTTTAGAGCATATGAGAAAATGACTTCTCTTTTCTAGGACATTTCATTCCTACAGCATGTCTTTGAACCAATATTGTTTCAGCTTGTTTGCAGAAATGTGTGATACTATAATTGTATTCTTTTTTTGGACTGAATGTAAAATTTCCTTCCTACTTTCATACCTATTGTCCTGTAAAATGTTAAAAACTAACTAACAAAATAGAATCCCTGGTGCTTGTCCCCCCCCCCCCCCTACATATACCTGCCGAAGTTCCACCCACAGGCCTTTACATCGCTACAGGACCCAGTAGTGATGTAGGGGGTGTCAGATGGAACTTCTGCACACAGCAAGCGGCCACAGATCTGATCTGAATCACTGGCAATCTTGAGTTGGACTTAAGGCTCCATGCACACTAGCAATTTTTAAAACTCTCCTAAGCACTACTAAACGCTACTAAAAGCCAGCACAAAAATGCTATTATCAGTGTTTTTCATCCAGTGTTTTTTGAGCTTAAAAAAAATGCTAGTGTACATCCATGCACACTAGTGTTTTGTTAAGCTCCTAGAAGCTATTATAAGCATTTTTTTCTGCTCTTACCCCCGGTTCACATATATGCGGACGTGCGGGCCGCGTTTTGCACGGGCACGAGAGCCCATTCATTTGAATGGACTCCCGTGCCCGTGACACACAGGGAAGAAGTCACTGCACTTCTTTGGAAAACGCAGTCCACACGGGAACCTCGGTTCCCAGTACGGTTGCGTTTTCCAGTGTGGGGCAACGTGCCATTAGAACTGCATTTCTCTGTGCAGGTGGTGCGGCTGCACGGATTTTCATGCAGATCCACAGCCGCATCACTCGCACATATGTGAACCTAGCCTACAAAGCTAGTAATGTTTTCCTATGTGTCCATGCACACTATTTTGTGCTAGAAGAATTTTTCAAGCTTTAGCATTGAGGAGCAGAATAAAATAGTTTTTGTAGAGTTTTTAGGAGTGTTCCCGGCAGAAAAAAAAAAACGCTGAATGCTCCTAAACGCTTCTATAACATTTCTAACAGCTTTTTTCAAGCATTTTTTTTCTTCATGTACTGTACAAATGCTAGTAAAACAATAATGTTCCTAAACACTGCTACAAGCCGGTCCAAAAATGTTATTATCGGCGTTGTTTATCCAGCTTTTTTTTCTAGTGTTTTTTGAGCTTATAAAAATGCTAGTGTGCATTCATTTACTGTAAAACTGCTACTAAATTACTAACACTCCTAAATGCTTCTAAATGCTACTAAAAATCTAGTACAAGCTGGCACAAAAATGCTATTATCAGTGTTTTTTCATCCAGTGTTTTTTTTTTTTAGGCATTTTTTTTCCCTAGCTTATACAGCTAGCGATTGAGCAATGGTGGCGTTGGGGAGGGTATATAGGGAGAGTCACTGTGCCGTACAGTCATCCCTATGACTAAGTTGGAAGTGACGGAAGTCGTCAGGGTGAGGCTATACGGTGACTGGAAGTGATGTTGTGAACTGAAAGTGATGTGGGAGCGCCATTGTTTGGGATCTGGCGGTGGTGAGAGCACAGCTCATGTATCCCACTACATTTAACATTACAGGTCTCCTGTTGGAGATACACAAGCGATACATGCCAAGCATGAGAATGGAAGGCATGTGCTTTTGGTGAGTGCATACCCAGAAAGGGAGGCATTTGCTAAAGGGCATGTGGTGTTTTCTGGTTTTGGAATACTGTGAAGATTTATCACATTGAAAGAGATATTCACGTGTCACAATGGACTTTATTCTTATGCATTAAATGTTTGGTGTATGTCACATTAATGTTTTGTTGTTTAACTTCATACAACTTTTTGGTCACAGCAGCACTGGACTATTGATGTTCATTTATTTATGCATGGTATAAAAAAAGGCTAGTGTGCATTGAACTCTAGAAAAAAAAATGCAACATTCTTTGATTTAATCCTGTTGGTTTATTTTTAAGTTACCGTATTTTTCGCTCTATAAGACGCACTCCCCCGACCCCTAAAAAATGGGGGGAAATGTCTGTGCGTCTTATGGAGCGAACATGGATTGGTCAACCCGGTATTCCCCCGGTGTTAGAATACCGGGCCGGCCGTTCAGCTCTGCTCTGCAGACCTCCAACGTACCTACCTGTTCCTCAGTCCAGCGGTGTCCTCAGGCTTTTCTCCCCGGCGCCGGCATGGGCACCCGGCTGTGACAGCTTGCGGCTTCACAGCCGGGTGCCCACTGCGCATGTCAAAAAGCGCTGAGCTTTGTGAATGGCCCTGTAATCTTCTGGGACCTGTCACATGTCCCAGAAGATTATGGGGGGGGGGGGGGGAGGACAACTCTGTGGAAGTGGGAGAAAATTCGGGTACCCTCTCCCCCCTTCCGCTCCACAAAGGTCCTCAGTCTCTGGTCATTTCCTGTACTATGTCCGCAGTCTCTGGTCATCTCCTGTACTATGTCCGCAGTCTCTGGTCATCTCCTGTACCATGTCCGCAGTCTCTGGTCATCTTCTGTAGTACGTCTGCAGTCTCTGGTCATCTCCTGTAGTACGTCCGCAGTCTCTGGTCATCTCCTGTACTATGTCCGCAGTCTCTGGTCATCTCCTGTACTTTGGCTACAGTTCTGGTCATCTCCTGTACTATGTCCGCAGTCTCTGGTCATCTCCTGTACTATGTCCGCAGTCTCTGGTCATCTCCTGTAGTATGTCCACAGTCTCTGGTCATCTCCTGTACTATGTCCACAGTCTCTGGTCACCTCCTGTAGTATGTCTGCAGTCTCTGCTCCTCTTCTGTACTTTGTTCGCAGTCTCTGGTCATCTCCTGTACTTTGGCCGCAGTCTCTGGTCATCTCCTGTACTTTGGCCGCAGTCTCTGGTCATCTCTTGTACTGTGTCTGCAGTCTCTAGTCATCTCCTGTACTATGTCCGCAGTCTCTGGTCATCTTCTGTAGTACGTCTGCAGTCTTTGGTCATCTCCTGTAGTACGTCCGCAGTCTCTGGTCATCTCCTGTACTATGTCCGCAGTCTCTGGTCATCTCCTGTAGTATGTCCGCAGTCTCTGGTCATCTCCTGTAGTTTGTTCGCAGTCTCTGGTCATCTCCTGTACTTTGGCTGCAGTCTCTGGTCATCTCCTGTATTATGTTCGCAGTCTCTGGTCATCTCCTGTACTATGTCCGCAGTCTCTGGTCATCTCCTGTAGTATGTCCACAGTCTCTGGTCATCTCCTGTACTATGTCCACAGTCTCTGGTCATCTCCTGTACTATGTCTGCAGTCTCTGCTCATCTTCTGTACTTTGTTTGCAGTCTCTGGTCATCTCCTGTACTTTGGCCACAGTCTCTGGTCATCTCCTGTACTATGTCCACAGTCATCTCTGGTCATCTTCTGTAGTATGTCTGCAGTCTCTGCTCATCTTCTGTACTTTGGCCGCAGTCTCTGGTCATCTCCTGTTCTTTGGCCGCAGTCTCTGGTCATCTCTTGTACTGTGTCTGCAGTCTCTAGTCATCTCCAGTACTATGTCCGCAGTCTCTGGTCATCTCCTGTAGTATGTCCGCAGTCTCTGGTCATCTTCTGTACTATGTCCACAGTCTATGGTCATCTCCTGCACTATGTCTGCAGTCTCCGCTCATCTCCTGTAGTATGTCTGCAGTCTCTGGCCATCTCTTGTACTATGTCTGCAGTCTCTGGTCATCTCCTGTACTATGTCCGCAGTCTCTGGTCATCGCCTGTACTATGTCCTGCAGTCTCTACTCATCTCCTGTAGTATGTCTGCAGTCTCTGGTCATCTCCTGTACTATGTTGCAGTCTCTGTCATCTCCTGTAGTATGTCTGCAGTCTCTGGTCATCGCCTGTACTATGTTCGCAGTCTCTGGTCATCTCCTGTAGTATGTCTGCAGTCTCTGGTCATCTCCTGTACTTTGTTTGCAGTCTCTGCTCATCTCCTGTAGTATGTCTGCAGTGTCTCTGGCATCTAAGGTCATCTCCTGTACTATGTCTGCAGTCTCTGGTCATCTCCTAGTAGTTTGGCCGCAGTCTCTGGTCATCTCCTTTACTGTGTCCGCAGTCTCTGGTCATCTCCTGTACTGTGTCCGCAGTCTCTGGTCATCTCCTGTACTGTGTCCGCAGTCTCTGGTCATCTCCTGTACTATGTCCGCAGTCTCTGGTCATCTCCTATACTATGTCCGTAGTCTCTGGTCATCTCCTGTACTATGTCTGCAGTCCATTTGTTCAGAAATATTTTTTCCCTGTTTGTCTCCTCTAAAATCTAGGTGCGTCTTATGGTCAGGTGCGTCTTATGGAGCAAACAATACGGTAATTGATTAGGAAACCTGTGTGCATTATTACTCCATTCAATCCTCCTTCACTTCTTCTATGTTTAAAATGCAACTGTTAAAAGATTTAAAATAAATATTTGAATGTTTAAAATCAAACTGCAATAAAAAAACACAGATGATCTTCCAAATTTTAATGTATTGTAGAATAAAACAAATAATGATGACCTCAGTCTGGTATATTTGTTGTAAAAAAATAATAACACTTTTAATTTGTTCCTTATATACAGCATACAATGAAAGAAACACAAACATTGTAACAAATGTGCAAAATTACAATTTCTTACAAATTGTTATAGACATTAAATGCTGCAAACTATCAAGCCATTTCTTTATTTTATCTTTTCCCATAAGACAATAAACCATAGACATAAGTACTGTATATGCGTTGTCATTTCATAGACACATTTTTTTGCATTTGGAAAATCTTCAACTCTTGAAGCCAACTCCTCAACTCTTCAAAGCATTGATTATTAAGGAAAACCTGATGTCTGGTACAGATTGAATTCTGGGCTTATAAATGCAGCAAAAATGTTAAAGTTAAAGTAAAAGAGGTGAATCTGGTGTGTTTGCATTAATCATTTCTGTATTAGTATTGTTCTATGCACATTTTGCAGTTTTTTTCCATTGTTTTTACCATCTATTAAGTTTTGTGTCCTTATAAGCCTGTGGGAAATAATCCAAATGTTTTGAATATTGGCAAAGAGTTATTGCCATATATTGGACTTGCTACATGACCCTGCCTGCACCTAAGTCTGATCAGTAATATTTTGTTTAGTTGATATTTGCTTTAATTGCATAGCTCAACTAAATACTTGTTGTTCAGGATACTTTGTTTTGTTCCTTATCTGTTCTTTCTTAAGGGCCAATTCCTACCCAAAGCTGATGCTGGGTGGAGAATTGTGATTTGCCTAAAGGCTTCTTTTAGCTCTTAGAAAGGTTGATGCTGATGTTTGATTACAGTGGTGTATATCCACACCTATGTCACAGCAAAATTGTCATTAGCATGCTGTTAGATTTTTGAGTTTTTTATTTTACATTATAGAAAGCCCATCTATAAAGAAGGGACATCATTATTTGTTTTTTAATGAAATTTGGCCAGAGCAGGGAATTATTGTGCAATCTCCCCATTGGGGTTCCCAAGAGACATCTAAAGCAAATATGTGATTGATATTGCCATGAATATCCAATGCCTAAATATCAAGTAAAAGTGCAGCTGTCATGGAGAGTATATGTTAGAACTGAGTAGCTGATCTCTGACTACAACAACATGGACTGTAAAATACAAAGAAAATAAAAAAAAAAATATAAATGCAAAATTCAGCATATAATTAGTGAAAATAATGTAAATAAAAATAATTAAAGTGAACAAATTAAATGTGAAAACTAAGCCTGAGACTGAAAGATGTCAGTAACTGTAAAATCTATATTTATACACATTTATTACTTAGAAAACTGCAAGCAGGTACAAACAAAAACCTACAACATACTGTATTTCCAGAGATAAATTTAGAAGTCATCTCTAGGTATTGCACAAAATCTCTCTGTGTGGATCATCTAAGCTTCCAAAGACCACAGGAGACCAGCCTTGGCATTGCTAGTATTCACAACAGATTCTCCCATGTATGCTCCTAAACGCTACTACAAGCCGGGCCAAAAATGTTATAATCAGAGTTGTTCATCCAGCTTTTTTTTTCTAGTGTTCTTTGAACTTATAAAAACGCTCGTGTGCATTCATGCACTGTAAAAATGCTAATAAAATACTAACACTCCTAAATGCTTCTGTATGCTACTAAAAAGCTACTACAAGCTGGCAAAAAATGCTATTATCAGTGGTTTCTTTCATCCAGTGTTTTTTTTCTAGCTTTTATTTTCTAATTTATACAAAAATGCTAGAGTGCATGGAACTCTAGAAAAAATGCAGCATGCTTTGATTTAATCCTGTTGTTTTTTTTTAAGTTAATTGATTGGAAAACCTGTGTGCATTATTACTCCATTTCATCCACCTTCACTTCTTCTATGTTTAAAATTCAACTGTTAAATATTATGTTTAAAATCATATTTTAAACATATTCAAATCTGATTGAAGGTTTCAAACTGCAATAATAAAATCCAGATGATCTTCCAAAATTGAAGGTATTGTAGAATAAAACAATTAATGATGACCTCAGACCAGCATATTTTTTGTAAAAAAATAATAACACTTTTAATTTTTTCTTGTATACGGCATACATTGTAATAAACACAAACGTTGTAACAAATGTGCAAAATTACAATTTCTTACAAATTGTTATAAACATTAACACATATCTAACATTTCTTTAATCATACTACTGTAAAATGAATACTGCAAACTATTAAGCCATTTCATTTTTTATTCTTTCCCATAAGACAATAAACCATAAACATGTTATAAGTACTGTATAAGCGCTGTCATTTCATACACAAATTATGTATGGTCCCCTTCCATGAAATATTCTTTATATTAAGATATTTGTTAGAATATAAGCCGGTAGGTACCTAAGCTTCAAGGTTTCTTTAATTTATCACTGTTCAAGAAAAAAAGCAGCTTACCAAAAATTGTATAGCAACTGCTGAAATTCACCAAGCAGCATAGTGATGCCGAAATGAGAATTACACTGGTCATAACAGTGTTCATGTCTTTACAATTTAGCTAGGAGTTGAAAACGTCTGTTTATGTAGTCTACTGTATTTTGACTTGAGTTCAAATGAGTGATCCCTAATGCCAGATCTTTTGCAATTGAATCTAACAGACTGGCTCCATTTCTGAAACACTCATTGTAGAATTAGTTGCTGAGCAAGGAGACAACTATAGTACTATATCCTATGGTCAGATGCCAAATAGTTTTAAAAGATGAACAGAGTATGGATCAACCATTACACCAAGACCCTCAGGTCTATTGACATGCCTATATAATGGACATGTGTCAATAATATATTGGTCAATATGTTATTAATTGGAAGAAAGGGGCTTAAGGCAAAATCTATTAGCAGGAAAGTAATCCAAAAGTCACTATTTTCCCATAAAAGGTAGTATTAATATTACCTAAGTTATTTTACCCTGGAGCCCCTTGAAACCAAAAATATTCCATATTTCATCAAATAGCAGCTCTATTTTTGTCATCTTTTGTACACCACTTTAAACATAAATTATAAAATTACACATAGTATAAAATATAATAAATAATCTGAGAATATCTGTTTCAGTGTTTCCGCTGTTAAATACCATTCATCACTTATGAATGCCAGCACTGGATGGCCATGGAGGATGGTATGCTGCCCTTGAGACTGTTGGCTTTTTTTCATGTCCTCCCTTTATTCCTTTTTCGGGATCTGCGGCTTCAGAAGGGAAATTATACCAGCCATAATGTGTTCTGTAACTGGCGAACCTTGTAATTGGATATTTAGGAGTACGGCAGCATGCTAATATCTGTGAAGAAGTGTAAAGGAAACATAAGTAAATCATGCATTAGTGTGAATGTGAATGAAATTGCATGAAGGGAATTTGTCATTTGCCATTTTAGTGCTTGAGAATTCAATCGCCAATCCCAAACACTGTCACATAGGGGAAGGGGAGAAGGTCACTAGCTATGCGGATGATCCAAGACAAGGCACAAACAAGGCTTAGACCCACAAATCTGGCAGACAAATGGGACATTTGGAAGGTGTGGTGATGGAAAATATAATCAGTGGAGGATATGGTTTAACAGGAGACCTTGTCACTGTACTCATTCACTTTAATTGGATCGACCCTACAGTATTTGCTTAATTGTATACTTACCCCACATATTAAACAGATGAGTAGACCCATGCCTAGGATAGACATCAATCCAAACAGTATTATTTCCCAGTATGTAACTGAAATAAAAAATATAAGAATGCATTATTGTACATATTTTGTTTTTATACATGTAACATGATTGAGCAGGGCAGTTGTATAAAAGCACAAACTCCCATTTTAACTGCTCTGGGCCCCTTTAACGGTGCTGTCATGTATGGAGCCTTACTTTTTTTATTTCCATGCATGTACCCTTTGGGGGACTCCTGTCATAACTGGAAGTACTGGGAAATATATTCAACATATTCAACAGAGACAAAACCAAAATCATATTTTTTTAAACATGTGCAAAAACCTTTGTTATTTATTTCAGTTGCTAGTCACTTAACATCACATGCAAATATACTGTCAAGTTCTATATAATATAATACTAAATGTTGCAGTCATCCAGTAACACAAGGGCTGGTTTGTGAGAACAAAAGCTAACTCTGTAATTTATCCTCCACCTCAAAATGATAAATAAAAAGAAATCATAAAAGATAAGAATATAAGCCTACAAATAAAATAGTACAATGATATGGGATTTGCATCTTGTAAGGCCTTTGCCAGAGAATGCTGTGCTCAGGGTTTTCTGTATTACATTATCTTCCAAGTTTGCTTGAAAACACTCCAAAGTAACTTGACAGTGGTGTGATATCGGGAATCCTGTCTGTCTTGTTAACTGGCCAACCCCTGGTGAGTTTGTCATGAATGGGTTAAAACAGTCTGTAGATAAATCAGTTTTTTGTAGATAAAACAGCCCTGTACTGGAAGAGACTTGTAGGCCTCTCCATGGAGAGAAGGTCCTTACTTAGTTAGCAGGCTGGATTTATATTGTGAAGCTCCAGGCTCTGCACCTGGATGTTATGTCCTTCAAGCTGCATTTAGAGAGTTGTACTTAGCTACACAAGAACCACAGGTTTTGCAGAGAGTTACTCTGATTGGTAGTTGTGTGCTTCTGGAGTTGAACTCCACTCTCAGAAGGTACTGGATCCTAGACATCAGACATTTGGGTATCTTTTCCT